GTTGCATGCTTCGTTGCGGCTTCAATAAATTTATCCACCTCTTCACGGAAACCTGCCTTGAACCTTAACGAACCATACATCCCAGAGTTCCTGTACTCCATCTTTTACAACAACAACAAAATAAACATTAAAGGACTACTTATTCAGATATATATAAAAATTAATCAAAGTAATAATTATTTGAGAATAATTGTATATACCTCAGATATATATGAATATAAATCTAATATAATTACATGAAGCAAACAAACACACCATATAGAGGAAAATTAATTAATGGCCCATTTATCCAAAAATAATTAAAATACATATTTATTGATTACAATAAACAATTTCAAAGACAACAATTAGCAATAATTATACTTTACACAATATCTTTCGTACAAACCCTAGTTCAATTTTATCAAACATAAATTTACAAAAACGAAATTAATAAAAAAAACCAAACCCTAGATCTAGATCACGTGCACATGAAACATCCATAACCCTTCAAGAATTTAGCTAAATGCCAGTGCTCCACTCGTAAAAGGTTGACAAGCAGGGCAAGAAAATAGGACCATAACCCTTCAAGAATTCAAGAAAACAATACGATAACCCGGCAAGAATCCATTAAACACGATAACCAAGAAACCCTAAAGTTTGTGGCAGAACGGAAGGGCAGGGGTTTGATTTCAAGAAACACAGCTCGAGTTCTCTCTTCCAAGAAATCGCCCAAGAACAGCAGAACGGCAAGAAATCCGCCAATCACAGCGGAGCAATGATTCAGTTCCCGGCAAGAATCTATTAAACACACTAACCAAGAAACGCCAAAGATTATGGCTCGCAAAAAGTTGACAGGGGCAGGGGTTTGATTTCAAGAAACACCACTCGAGTTCTCTCTTCGAAGAAACCGCCCAAGAACAGCAGAAAGGCAGGATTCAAGAAACCTGCCGCTCTCGTCCTCGTGAAGCGCTCCGCTTCCTGCGCTATCTTTCCTCTGCCTTTTAGTCGGCGGAGGCATTTTCTTCGCCTTCTTGAATATCTCTCAGGAACCAGAAACGGGGAAGGGGAAGGGGAGGCGGGGATCGTGAGGAAGACGACGATGGGAGTGCGGGAAGGCGCGGCTTGGAACGCAGACTATGGCATTAGATTTATTATTAAGCCTGTGGAAGAATTAACCGGGATTAAGGCCCGATCCACGCCACCGGGCCGGCCCGTGTGTAAGCTCAGCCCAATACCAGCCGGCCCAAAGTTTTTAGGTCCGGGCGTGGAACAGGGAACGCGTCTCTCTCTGGTGCGTGCGCCCGTGCGGGGCGCCGCCGCCTGCCCCTCGCCTGTCACGCCAGCAATGGCCTTGCTTCGTTCGCTCCGTCCCTCTCGCATCCCCTCCCGACATCATCTCTCTACCCTCCCGACATTCATTCACGTCCCTGCTCCCTCCTGGCGGCGCATGCGCATCTAAAGAACGCCGTGCGCCGGTGAGGCAGCCGCGACGGCGGCCGGCCTCCCTCCTCTCCGTCTAAGAAGCAGCCGCAGCAGGTGCCCTACCTCACTGCTTATAGCAAATCGTTTGTTTCTCAGTGCTTGTATTTTGAGCACATAGCGTTAAGTTAGGTGCACATGATTTGAGCAGCCGCCTATGTATGCTGCACTTGCACAAGAGAAAAAAAAAATTGTGGTTTGTATCTGCTCTGTACTGCTATGCTGACAGTGAGGGAGAACAACTTGTCTAGAGATACTATACTATATATATACTAGAACATATAGATGGGATTCTTGAGAAACGCTGACTAACAGTTGTATTGATCACCTCTCTCTTTTTTTTTAAAAAAAAAGAAACACCCCGGGTGGGGTGGGGGGTTAGCGCCCCGACCTCAATGATTTTCCATTGATTCCAGAGCTAAGCCAGTGGATGGAGGGTGCTCGAGGCACCAACAGTTACAGTTACAGGTCCACTAATAAAAAGATGGGGGGAATTGACCCCAGCATAAGAGGAGGAAATTACATTGCAGTCGGAACTCGGCTCAGGCAAAGGGACCACTGCCTTGCAGGTTGAACCAGATGAGTTGGAAGACGGCATTGCCACAGATTGGCGTCTTGACGGCAGGCGACGAGAAGCCGGGTCAAGCACGGCTGCAGCCCACGGAACACAACGTCGTGTCGGTGCTTCCAGATGTTCCAGCAGCAAAGAAGAAGCATTGTAGGGAGGAGTTCAGGAGAGGTGGTAGCAGGAGGTACTACGTGCATCAACTCAGTGACTGGGGGGAAGGCCACTGCGCCCCAGCCAATGTAAGTTCCAGAAGCTCCTGGCCACATAACACTCAAAGAGGAGGTGGTTTGCGGATTCAGAGGTTGATTGGCACAACTCACAGATGTCATTGTCCAGCACATGCCTCGGCAGCAGGATGGCCTTACACTGGATCCGGTCTTGCAGGAGGAGCCAGCCGAAGAATTTCACCTCTGAGGGCTTGCATGGTTGCACCACACGAATTTGAATAGGTCGCTTGCTTCTCCGGTTGTCCTAGATGCACGGTAAATCTGCGCTGTGTCAAGTTTTCCTGGGACGGATTCAAAGCAGCAGGTTCGCTCGTCTTGCCGATCAGACAGATGGATTGTAGCCACAAGTGACTGGACTATCTCCAATTCCATCGCTGCAGCTCTGGACATTCTCGGAACAAAGCTGGCAGTCAGGTCCTCCTGTTGCTACGTCCTTCACGGATAGATGACGTTTGGTGGCACGGCTGTAGAGCGCGGCAAAAGAGGTTGAAAGAGGTTCACTGCCAAGCCAATTGTCTTCCCAGAAGGAGGTGTCTGCACCGTTCCCAATCAAAACCTTCGTGATACTCCTGTATGCCGGCAGGAGTTCAACAATGGAGTCCCAGTGACTGTCCGCTTCAGTGTTAACCAAGTCGGCAAGGCTTGCATTCTGTTACACCCACTTGGACCAACTCGATTCCCCAGGCTGATACAATCTGTGAATCAACTTAAGCAGGAGGCAGGCATTCTGAGTTGCGAGATGTTTCACACCTAGCCCGCCCTCCTCTTTCGTTTTCTGAGCTGTCTCCCAGGCCACCAGGCAGTTTGCTCCTGAAGCTTTTTCCGAGCCTTTCAAGAGGAATGCCTGATGCTTGCTGTCTATTTGCTCAATCACCCCAACTGGCAGCGGCAATGCTTGCATGATGAATGTCGCCAACCCATCCAACACTGAATTGACGAGAATCAAACGGCCTGTGTGATTCAGCAGCGCCCCTTGCCAACCTGATGGCCAACGGTCCACCTTGGCAATGAGCAGGGCAAAAGCGGTGATATTCAGTTTAGTGTTGGAAAGTGGCAGACCAAGGTAGACCTGTGGGAAGCTCGCTTTCTGGCAGCCAAGTATATTTGCAATTCGGGTCACCTTCTGTGGCTGCACGTTCATAGGAACCAACGTGCTCTTCGTGAAGTTGATTTTGAGCCCGGTTGCCATTGTGAAACTGTCCAGGAGCACTTTCAGTCTTCTTATGTCAGGGATCTCAGCCTGAACTAGTAGTAGTGTGTCGTCCGCATATTGAAGTATGGGGCAGGGACCGTCAGTGATGGGGTGTCTGACTCTGCCATCCTTTTTGATATATTTCTGCGGAACGTCAGCCACTAGTAGGAATAGGTATGGGGAGAGGGCATCTCCTTGCCGCAGTCCCTGTTTGCACCGAATCCATGGCCCTGGAGAGCTGTTCAGCATAATCGCAGAGTGTGAGGAGCTCAGTAATTGCTCCATCCAACCTGCACCAAAGGGGCGGGAACCCTCTTACTTGCAGGATATCTAGAAGGCTTTTCCAGTTTGCAAAGTGAGTTTCAGGACAACAGAAGTGAGTTTCAGGACTACAGTGGGGGTTTTCCTCTTATGGCAGCATTGCACTAATTCCGTGGCATAGACAAAATTCTAAGAGATTGATCTGCCCTTCAGGAAGCCAGCCCGATCAACATCTATCAACTTTCCAATCTGTTGCTTTAGTCTTGAGGTTAGGACTTTGGTGAGGATCTTGACTGGGCAGTTTTGGAGTGAAACAGGCCTGAAATCCTTCTGAGAAGTAGTCCCTGGGAATTTGGGCAGCAGGACAATGTGTGCTCTATTGATTCTTGCAGTGTCCACTGTCCCTGAGTGAAAGTTCTGGAGGAAATTCATAATGCTTGCTGCCGTTGTGGTCCAAGTAGCTCGGTACCCATGCTATTAACTCAGGATGGAGGTAGATACATCATACATCCACAGTAGATGAGCATTTAGTTGCACATGATAATAATTTAATGCATCTTTATTTTGTTTTTAATTTCTTTGCCATTGCCTTCTTAATTGTGATGATAAACTGCATGAGTCTGAATTAAATAATGAGCAATTGAATACACAAAACACTTTTGCCATTTGTGCCAGAAGAAAATGACATGGCTAGAAGGATACACAATAAACTAGCTATTCGGGAGTACTTTGTTGGTGTAATTAGACAACAGAAAATATTTTGGGTACTTCCTCCATTCCAAATTGTACATCGTTTTGACTTTTTTAGATACATAATTTTTACAATGTGTCTAAGACAACCTATATTTAGGTGCACATCTGAAGTAAGAAATTTCAATGATTTTTTAGGGTTTTATGGTGACTGATTTTAGCAAATCCGAGCCGAAAACTGTTGCCAATTTGAACCATACCGTACCTTCTATGCATGATTTCTGAGTTGTGGCCTTTATTTTTGCATGATAAAATGTTGCAAATATTTTAGCAACGCTATGGATATGCTGATGCAAGAGCTATTTATACCTCCATTTCAGTCATCTTACTGATGTTGGCCGGCATCCTTACAGTGGAGAGCGACTCCCCAGTCCTGCTTGCTGTGCTCCCATCACCAGCAAGAAGATGCTTCAGCTTGCGTAGATTGATGCACTCTGTGCAGGAGGCATCGATCTTGGTTTGCCGAAGCGTCTCCAGCAGCCAGAGTTCCTGGATCTGTTTGGGAAGACTGGAAACATCAGTGTTCCGGAGGCTCAAATATTTAAGCGTCTGTATGGTCTTGCAATTGCAGATGCTCTTCAGGTGGTGCTTCTTCAGGCCTTTGCATCCTTCGAGATCCAAGACATTCAGTCGATAGGTATTGCTGATGCTTTTCTCGCCAAGCTTGTCCTCTGATGCTTTTCTCGTGGAGGAAGGCACTCAGGTACTGCAGGCAGCTCTTGTAGTCATTGGACAGCTTGCCGTAACAGAGGACCATCACTCGGAAGTGAAGATCGTCTGTGTCGGAGGAGCTGGGAGTTATGAGGTTGAGGTCATGCTGTTCTTGCTTGCTCACACGGCCTTGACCTCGAGGAGCCACCTGAAGAGCATGGAGGAGCATCTCCATGCAGATGATAGTATTCTCATCTCCCTGGGCTAGGGCTAGTAGAGCATTTTGTATCTCCTCAAGTGACAACGATGTGTCTGACTTGAGGTACCCCGCAAGCAATCTGGTGATACATATATTATTCTTTTTCCATTTTGAACCACTTTTATATAGGTTCTTTATTATCCATCTCTTTTTGGACGAGGTTTCTCATATCTGATGCTGCTGGAGTATCCTTTGAGTATATGCCAAAGAGATGCCACTTAAAATTTAACCATTATTCAATAATGGAAACCTTAATCTATTCATTCATTTTGTAGTGGTAGCTCCTCATTTTGATTGTGATATATATCTAAAAGACCTAATAATCATATATGTTTCATGGATTATCATTATCAACGATTGGATTCAGAATGATGGTCAGCGTAGATGACAATATTGCATAACTGCTAGGCAGTACTAGGTACTATAGAAAAAGTTCTTTATATATAACATTTCAATTAACTGTGCTAATATAATAGCCGACAACAGTGCATTCCTATAGGTTAGTTTATTCATCTTGTATGCATTTGTTATTCACACAATGATTTATTGGTTTATACTTCAATGTTGAGGGTTTCATCTTATCTATTCTCAAGATTGTTGCTTTATATATGAAGTAGTTCGTATATAAAGCACGTATGTTTCAGTTGATGGGTTATACTTTATACATGGTGTCATGGATATTGAAAATACTTATATTATTCTTATTTTTTCTACTCTTTTATCCTAAATTGACTTTCTATTACTTATATGCATAGTGCACTTATTTGTTGTTTTTAGTAGGTACTCTCTTATCGAATTTGAAATTTAGTCTAGAATTTCACTATTTTCCTGTGCATAGTGGAACATCTATTTAATTTGTAAATTTGTATTTTTTTGTGATAATTTATCAATTAACATTTAAGTTATTTTTATTGCAAAGTTGCAAATTATTTGCTTCAATTAATGCAGTCTTTCTAATACCACGTTATTTGTCGATTATTTTTTTCCGGTTACACCTTCCATATATTTATTATTAAAGGTCAGCGAAAGGTCTTTATTAAGAGTCAGTAATACAACTGAGATACTGCTACATCTGACCCAAGACTCGTGTGATTCTCTTGCTGTGCACCTGAACACTTTTTTAGAAGGGAGGTATGAAAAAAGAAGTTTTTTTTTTCTTAAGAGCAATAGTCCTCAAATTTGAGCCCCGACTCTCATGGTGTCCGCTTACCGGTGGAAGGGAGCTTGAGGTTGGGTTGCGCTCCGAGAAGGCCCACTCGAGGTCGCCCTTGGGACGGCCAATGATGGAGGGGAGCTTGTGGGCTCAAGCAACCGACGGAAGAGGAGCTCGAGGTTGGGGTGGCGCTTCGGAATGACCAGTGATGGAGGGGACATCGTGGGCTCAGGCAGCTGGCGGAACAGGAGCTCAAGGAAGCTAGCATCTCGTCTGGACTTGGGGAAGATGCCTGCAAGGAGGGTGAACTCAGTGCTAAAAGAGGAGGAAAGGGAGCATGGGAGGATTCCAGCACTGGATGCGGGGGGGGGTGGACGTGCTAGCGGTAAAAGCACACTAGTCCCATCGGATACGGTTTCCTGTAGTCACAATATGGTCCATAGTATCTTTTTTATCATAGTCTATGTTGTGTAGCACCAAAAATAGACTATATTGTGTACCTTCTTTTTCTCCTTATCCATCCCCATTTAGATGACTTGTGATGTAGAGATGCAAGTTTAGCACCATTTTTTGTTGTCATAGTATATCTTTTTGTATTGACAAAAAACCTCTCCAACAGCTTCTTCAACTAGATTTCTAAACATTTCCATCTATTTGTGGTTTCTCGCTCGCCAAAGGTGGAGAACGGGGCTGGCTCTTCAAAGTGTACATAATGTATAGAGAAGTTGTTAGAGGCTTGAGAGATGGAGTCATTTTATTTCAATGGATGTCCAAATGACAAATTAGAGAATGTGTTTAAGAAAGACTGTTGATATGCTTTTACTCAGGAGCTGCTAAGAAATAATAGGTACATTAAATACAACATCTTGTTGCATATTACAAAAAAAATATGGCGATTCTCATTTTAGTTGGGTCTTTTGGGAGTGAAGGGTAAATTCATGAGCTTAGGAAAATTCAATTAGGAGACAATACTCAAATAAGGTATTGGAAAGATACATGGTTGACGGCATCCTCTCAATGTGCAATATCCAAACTTGTACAATATAGTATGACATAAACATACTAGAGCTTTTTACCTGTATGGCCCTAGAGAAAATGCCTCTTCCTTCTATGGCCCTTATTTTTTTTAACTTACCTATATGGCCCCAAAACGAAATTCCTTTCTTCTATAGCCTTCCGTCCGTTTTTGTCACTTGACGGTGTTAAGTCAAGGGTAAAATGACCAGTTTATCCCTGGTGAAAAAAATGCAGAGTTTTGTTTGTCTACGCCTTTTTTCTTTGGAAGGCCTAGCTTCTTCTTGGTGGGTACAACAGGTGTTCAACTTGGTTTCCCTGTGAGGTGACATTCAGATAGCATTGTCCTATGAAGGTAAAATTCATATAGCATTTTTATTCTCTGAGTAACAGAACAACACATAAAAAAATGTATCTAGATTGACTCCTATGCTTTCCTTGTGCCATACTTGAGAGAAAAATGTACATAGTTCACACTTGAGAGAAAAGAGTTCACATTTTCTCTAAAATCAAGTTCACAGAACAACAGCAGCAATAGGTCTAATATCAGGTTCAGAGAACAATAGCTACAGGCCTGAAATCAAGTTCATTTAATTTGAGAGAAAAATCTAGGTAGCCATAACTGCAAGAAATAGGACCATGTAAAATTCACCATGCTAAGTAACATAACTTAATTGTCTGGAAAGGTAAAACAGCAAGTAACACCTCATGGCAGCAACAGACATGGTAAAATTCTTTGCTAACTAACAGGAATATTACTGAAAAGAAAACATCAAGTAAAATTCACCATGCTAGAATTTTGCAAACACTGGTAAGCACTCCTGCACACTCAGTTGTCAGCAGCATTTTCAGAACTGCAACAGCATGCATGTTTTCTTAAATAATAGGCAACAGCTGTCCGTCATGTAGTTTTCTGAGAAATAGATAAACTTGTCTAGAACAACATGGTCACAGACATGTCATACTAACTCCTGAAACATAGTTTCGTAATGGCCCGATGCAAATTTCAGAAAATCATCTACATAACTGTGAATCGTACAGAACTGTAAAGGCCGGGCTGCCCCTCCGCGTCGCTGGAAAGGCCGGCCGCGCCGGGCTGCTCCTCCGCGCCGCTGGAAAGGCCGGGATGGCCGATGGAAAGGCTGGGATGGGCGTGGGAGGGGCCGCCTGGTGCCGCGCCGGATCAGCCCCGGTCGCGCGCGCTCGACCAGGCGGGCGGCGGCGCCTCCCCCACGCGTAGACGCCGGCCGAGGGGGCCTGGCCCGCCGTGGATCCGACGAATCCGGCGGCAGAGAGGCCGGCCACGGCCCCTGGCCGGCGGCGGCGGCGCCCTCTCCATCGGACCTTTTTTCCCCGGCTCGGTCAAAGCTCGTAGCGCTCGGTCGTTTTTTCCCAGGCAGGGTCGCATGCGGTAGAAGGGAAGAAGAGCAGAAGGGCAACCTAGACATTTTGTGTATCTACCAGTGGGGAGACTAACACCCCTAACAGATTTGACGGAAGGTAACGGAAGCAAGAAAATTTCGTTTGGAGGCCACATAAAGTTCGAATAAAAAAGGGTCATAGAAGAAAAATGTATTTTTTCGGGGCTATACAAGTAAAAAGCTCAACATACTACTATAGTAAATACTCTATGGATAGGTCCCATAAATAGATATTTTTCCTTCAGAAAGGTTTCAGTCGGACTTAAGCTGGTTGAGCGGAATAATTTAATAGCAAGATTTGTGAACATTAACTTACAAGTTGGACGAGATATGTTCTTTTGGTTTCTTAAAAACAATGGCATATGTTCACGATAAGTTCCATGTATAAACATGTTGTCACTAGGAGCATTAAAACCTCAATGGCTATTTGGCTTCTAAGAACTGTTGACAATAATTTTTCTCTGATTCGACGAGAGAGGGGTTTATTTTAACTAAATATAATTTATTAAAAGAGGAATTATGTGAACAAGTCTGGCATATTTTTGCAATATGGATGAAGCTATTCAACACCTATTCTTAGCGTCTCGGACCCTGGGCTTTGAATAAACACAATCTCTTTCAAAATTAGCACAAACAAAAGGGTAGATCAAATAAGACATTCTCGTTGACAGGTGGTGTAGCCATTTGTTGGACATTATAGTTAACAAATAAAATGTTTTTTGATAAATGCCAACCGAAAGTGGTCTACTCAAAGGAAATGTAATGGCTATGACATTGGACACAATTGAAAAGATGTGATGACATCAAAGAATGTTTTTCCAAGTTTATTGGGTGTTTGAAACAACAACCATGTAGTTGTTTTTGTTTTGTTTGGATGGCCAAATAATGTTAGGATTGACATTTGAGTGGGTTTGGTTTTGTAAGTTTCATTTTTTTTTTGTAATAATTGGTTTCGTTCTCTTAGTTAGAAGGGATGAAACTGAAATGTTTCCTCTATCTAAAAAAGTATCGTTATTAGAAATGTTTTCATTTAGATATACTAGTATAAAAAATGGACGGTGCACATGCTTCAGTTCCTCTCTCGAATTACAAAAATGGACGGAAAGCTCCTGGCGGTGTCAAAAAAAAGGACGGAAAAAGAACAGGTAAAAAAACAAGTAACGCGCACGTTCGACGTTCCTCTCGGCTCCGCATCGGTGATTCGGAATCCGACTATCCGAGTTCGGCTCGCATACGGCATTGCAGTTAGTTTGGCCTGCCTCTGTCTATAAAAGGCGACCAAAGGCCCCGGGTTCTCGTCCAACACAACCACGCAAGTCCACCGCCATCACATCCATGGCGTTCGAGGAGCTGCTGCAGCTGCTATCGAAGACCGAGGCGGTGGACGCGAAGCAGGACGAGGTGATGCGCCTGTTCATGCTAGCCACGGCCGAGAGCCTCGCGTCGGGGGAGCTCACGCCGGGGGACCCGGAGTGGAAGGCCATCGCAGCGCGCGGGGAGGCGCTCGGGCTCGAGGTGCTCGCCAAGGCGGCGGGATCGGTGGAGACGTTCACGCGGATGGCGGCCGAGTTCGCGGTGAGGCCCGGCGGGGAGGCGGTGGCGGAGGCGCATCGGAGGTTGGCCGTCAGCGCGGTGGCGCTGGAAGCGCGCGCCGAGGAGTACGTCGCCTTCATGCGCGGCGTCGGCGCGCTGGCCGACTCGGGCTCGGACTCAGCTGGGCGGCCCGCCGCGAGGAGGTCCAGGAGGCCCAACGCTAGATACTTTGGCCCGGAGTGGAGCAACTGATGGATCCAGCCCAACTGCATTGTTAGCATATATGTGATGGGCCTCGATTTGGCTAATAATTCAAGCAAGTCCATCGCCATCCATCCGTAGGGGTCTTACTAGACCTTCTTAATCTGTGGCCTGCTACTGTTTCACGCAGTTTCTTGCAACTTGCTCCTCTCGGTTGTTCAGCCATGTAATTGAAATTGTTCGGTTGCATTGGTGGACAAGATATATTGTATGTATTGTTGATGCAAAAGCATGTTGGCACTTTTTTATTGTATATTAATATACGGTGGTGATGGGCCATTCCATTTTCCGTTGTTATTCGATGCTACATTTTTATATCGATTATTTTAAACACAACGTTGCAAAACTGGTTTCTTCGGTGGAATCGCCTATTTGGGTTCAGACTCTTGTTTCGGTTTAATATTCCTATATGATGATAGGTGTGACTTTGCTTACGGAAATCCTCAGGTGCGGACGTCCGTTCCATCGGATGAGGGAAAAAAGGACATTTCCCCAGACGGTCGTGTGTTCCTCACCGTTGCACCATGTCGCCCGCCCGCCGCTCATCTTCTCTAGCGCAGGGACGCCTCACCACGTCCTTCTCTAGCATGGGGGGCACCTCGCTGTGGGAGGCCACTGCTGCCTCCACCGCGGGTGCTGCTCGCTGGGGGCACCGTACCCGCCCTATGGTTGGGGGCAGCGCAGCTGCCGGCCCGCTACCATCCTCCCCCTCCACCGTAACCTAGCGCTAGTTCTCACCGTTTAGCGCTTTGCCCGTCCACCTGCCAGGTTTTGCTGAAAGCGCATGCATGGTTGAAGTGTATGTTTCAAGTGTTTCAGAATGTTCTAAAGGTATGTTGCAAGTGTGTTCATATGAATGTTGTAAAAGTAGATCGGGATGCTGCATACGTTGCAATAGCTATACACGTATATTGCAGACATCTGTTCCAAATGTTTTATCTGTTCCTCGATTCGGCTAATAATTCATGCAAGCCGACCTATCTTTAGGGAGCTAGTAGACCTGAATCTATAGCCTGCTACTGTTTCACAGTTTCTTGCAACTTTTTCTCGGTTGTTCAACCATGTAGGAGGAGGTTTTTCTTCTACGTACCTATTCAAAGAAGAAATTGAAATTGTTCGGTTGCATTGGTGGATAAGATATTGTATGCATTCTTGATGCAAATGCAACTTTGCACATTTTTATTGTTGTATATAATAACGGTGATCGACGATTTCATTTTTGATAGTTATTCTATGCTACTTGACGTGAGTCAAACATTATGGTATGATGATGATACAGTGAGGAGGTCCGTCCCTTCGGGCGCCGTCTTACCAAACAAAAAATATCTCCCACTCCGTCTCACGCGCTCGCTGCAGCCTCCGCTCTGCTTCCTCCGCCCCGTGCTCGCCGTAGGCTCCGCTCCCCCTCCTTTGCCCCGTGGCCCTCGCTCGCCTCCGCGACGCTAGGTTCGGCCGCTGGAGTCGCGGCTCCCCCCTCTCATCGCCGTCACCGACGCCGGCGTCCTCCTCATCACCTCCTCCTGCGGTAGGAGACGGCGAGGGCGTCGCGGCCATGCCTGACTTCGTGCCGACCTCGAAGCTCCTCACGCCCGGTAGCGGAAGAAGCTCACAAGGGGGCAACTGGCCATGTCCGTGGTGCTCTTCGCTCCGCCGTCTCCTAGACCCAATCTGCCCATCGAGGCGGTTATCGAGTTCCTCAGCGCGCCTGACATGGTGGTCGCCGCCCACAAGAGTGCTGCGCCTAACATATTGCAAGCATATGTTTCAAGTGTCTTAGATGTTTTAGATGTATATTGCAAGTGTTTCATGTGGATGTTGCAAAAGTAGATCGGGATGTTGCAAAAGTAGATCATGATGTTGCATATGTTACAGGTATTTTAGAGGCATGTTGCAAGCGTTTATTCAAAATGTTTCATCTGTTTTTTAGACCTATGTATGCAAGCATTTTTTTATTTGAATGTGGCATATGTTTGACACATGTTGCAAGACTATGTTCCAATGGTTTTAGCTGTTTCAGTTGTATGTTGCAGTAAGTGTTTTCATATTGCAAGTTGCAAGTGTTTTATATAGATGTTGTATATGTTTCACACACATGTTTCAAGTGTATGTTCCAAATGTTTTATCTGCTTCAAATGTATGATGCTTCAAATGTTCCATGTTTCAGAGGTGTGTTCATAGAGTCATGGGGGCATGGCCCGGGCGCCGGGGGATCGGGTGCGGCGAGCCGGGTGCCGGCGGTCGGGACGCGTGCCGCGCCTGGGTCTCGCGGACGGGGGCGTGCTCATCCTCATCTCCGCTCCCGGGTCCCGCCCACGCGGAGAGAGAGGAGCGGGTCGTTGGGAAGGAACCGAGGGCGCAGCGACAGGGGCGGGGTGCGCGTATGGGGCGTGGCGAGGCGAACAGGGGCAGGCTGCGCGAGCGTCCGGACGTCCGAGCGCTAGCCACGCCCATTAGGAAGGTGCCGACCGACGGACCCCCGACCAATCTCACAGATCGCTTGGGGGCTATACCCATCGGGTACACTCGCGCACCCTCTGTAAGGAGTTAGGGAGAGCCTGAGCACGCCTGCGGCCACTGCTTGGGCTCGGGGGCTCGCCAGGGCCCGAACTACCAAGCGACGGCATCCCGAGCCTGACTCCTGTCCAGCACAGGCCCAAGCCAGCGCTCGGATGAGGAATCGACGGCCCGAGCCATAGGCAACCTGCTGGGTGTCATGACCCTATCATGACATGTTGAATTTCATACTCATCATGAGCATCATATGCATTTGAAATTCAATTTCGAAACCAAACTGTAAAGAAACCGAATAATTCTGCACACTGTTGGTTTTTTCGAAACCAAACTGAATATTTTCGAAACCAAACTGTGAAGCAATGGCGGCCCAACCTCATCCTGTAAATCCTCATGCCTCGAAGGCGGCCTCCTGTAATTAATAATCCTTGTGTATGCCTCAAAGGCAGCCGAATCTGTGAGGAAGAGACATACTCTTCTCGCGTTACCTCGTGCTAGGCCGACCTGGCCCTAAACCATCACCACACGATATGACGAGCCATGTACATCCGGAACCATGGATTTTAATGGACGAAGTGTGTAGGGATATTTTAGAAGTATAAAAAGTGGGTTGAAAGAAACACCTTACCCTTTAACATTATTAGCAAACGTGTCTATACATTACAACGGAAGAAAATAAAAATATTAATTACATTTATAAAAAAATGAGGACAATGAATGCTATATGTCTATTTACGTTTTACATATAGTTGACATTGGTAATAAAAGACAATGTTTATTAAGCTTGCATCGAATTAAAATACAATCTTGGCATATTTTTTCTCCCGGTACGAACAAAAATATATAGACATAAATAGATAATAACTTTATGTGTTGCTATAGTTAAATATGAGTTCTACGAAGTTCTAATCTTTGGTTAAAGTCGATGAGCACTTTTACCATCTGTACTGGTTGCCATTTGTAGAGGACTACAACAGTGTGTTTGGCCAGAAGAAAATGACATGGCTAGAAGGATACACAATAAACTAACTATTTAGGAATACTTTATTCGTGTACCGCGAGACAAAAGAAAATATTTTGGTACTTCCTCCGTTCTAAATTATACGCCATTTTGACTTCCTTAGATACGTAGTTTCTATAGTGTATCTAAGACATAATGTATATTTAGGTGCATTACAAAAGCTACTTGCACTACGGGATACAGGAGCTTTGCCGAGTGCCAGGGGCACTCGGCGAAGACCCAAAAACACTCGGCAAAGGGTTTGCCGAGTGTTACACTCGACAAACGACACTCGGGAAACTTTTTAACGACAAACGCTAGTTTGCCGAGTGTTTTTTGTCAGGCACTCGGCAAAGACGTTGCCGAGTGCCCAAAAAACACTCGGCAAACTTTTTTTTAAAAAAAATAAAAAAAGGCACGCCGACACCACGCCCGCACCACCAGCACCGCCGCCGCCGCCACCATCCATGCCTGCCGCCGTCGCCCGCACCACGCCGCATTCGCCTCCGCCACCACGCCGCTCTCGACCCAGGGGCTACTGCTGCCCGCCAAGGCCCGCCCCCCCTCCCACTGCTGGGTGCGTCATGATCGAGCCCCCTCCCTGGATCTCACCGTTGGGGGAGGGAGGGAGGGAGGGAGGGGGTGGCACCGGCCGTCGGATCTCGCCGGTGGGGAGGCGGCGCCGGGAAGAGGGAGGGGAGGGGCTGCGCCGGGGAAGAAGGTAGGGGAGGGGGGAGCCGGGGAAGAAGGGAGGGGTGGGATCCGCGGGAAGAAGAAGGGGAGGGAGGGGAGGGGCGGCCACCGGCGTGGAAGAAGAAGAAGGGGAGGGAGGGAGGGGGGGCCGGTGGGAGGAGGGAGGGAGGGGGAGGAGGGGCCGGATCCGACGGGGAAGAAGGGAGGGGCGGATCCGGTGGGGAAGAAGGGAGGAGGGGTGGGAGGGGCCGGATCCGGTAGGGAAGAAGAAGGGAGGTGCCGGATCCGGTGGGAAGAAGAAAGGAGGAGGGAGGGGCCGGCCGTCGGCGGGAAGAAGAAGGGAGGAGGGAGGGGCCAGGGAAGAAGAAGGGAGGAGGGAGGGGCCGATCCGGCCGTGGGAAGAAAAGGGAAGGAGGGGAGGGTGCAGGAGGAGGGGGCAGGGTGCGGGTGCAGGAGGAGCGGGGCGGGTGCGGGGGGCTGGGGAGGGGAGGGGCGGGTGCGGGAGGAGGGGGTGTGCGTGACGGAGGGGAGGGGCGGGTGGGGTTTTTTCTATATTTTTTTTTGCTTTGTCGAGTGTTGTTTGTGGACACTCAGCAAACCTCCCTTTTTGTCAAGTGTTTTTTGTGACACTCGGTAAACCCCCTATTTGCCGAGTGTTTTTTGTTTGACATTCGGCAAACCCCCCCTCTTTGCCGAGTGTTTTTTTCCCGAGTGTTTTTAGTATAGCACTCGGCAAAGAATTTGTTTGCCGAGTGCCCGAGGGAATGCACTCAGCAAACATAAAAACACTCGGCAAATTTGAGGTTTCCGGTAGTGTTGCACACCTAGCAAAGCCAAAACGACTTGCAATTTGAAACGAAGGAAGAGAGTAGTAGTTAGCTTGGGTCAACTATTGGTTGATTTGGGAAAACCTAGAATTGTAATTTGATCTAACACATGCCAATGCTTATTTTAGATATAGATATACATGTACTCCACTGTAATTAATTTGCTTTTCATGAATGAAAGTGGCCCATCATGTAGTGGAGGTGACAGCAACGATCTTCCAGACACCAATGATCATCTCTATGGCTCGATGCTTTGGATGTTTTGCGATGGCTTTTTCCACCAAGGGGCAAGAATCACCTTCAAGTAGGCCTTTGAGCACCACCTGCTTCAGTCCCGCAAGGTGCTCGATTCCAGGAGCACAAGCTGTGGCGGTGACTTTGGCGTCCATGGACCAGACGATCTTCTCAAGCTGAGGGCTTGCATTTTCTTCGAAGGTGAGCTTGGTGGTGGCGGCACTCTCGAGCAGGAGGAACTTGAGAGCAATGAACCCGTCAGCCCTGAAGGCGAGCTCCTCTTCCATGAATGACCCGTGATGGAGCCTGAGGCATAGCAAGCCGGTGAGCTTGCTAAGGGTTCCCATTTTCCCAGGCGCCAGAGGAGTATTGCACAATGTTATCTTGGAAAGCCTTTTGAGGCCTTCGTCGACCCAGCTAGGCAATCCAGATTTATCCATGCCAGCGATGCTTAGGCTCTCAAGGTTCTCCAGATGCAAGAATGTGCCATCGCCGTCTTTCTTGTCAAGAGAAACGTCGTCGGCACAGGGTGTATTGATCCAAATTGACAGGGAGTGCAGGCGTCCTCCCATCTTGGAAATGGCTTGGCGCAGATCATTGATGTCTTCTTGCCTTCCGGGGAGAAATACACCAAGCTTCCTTAGCTTCTTCAGATTCTCGAGTTCACTGAGCTCGCTGCCACGAGAAATTTGGACACAGGACAGTACCTGTTCAACATTTAATTAGTCAAGGTTTTGGTGGTGTTGGTTCTTCTAGAGCTACCTTTACATGCAGCGAAGAGAAAAATGCAACACAAGCCACTTAGGTTTCCCACATATATATGCCAAGCGTTCGTGTCACTAAACTCTCAAATTGAAGTAACAACCAACTTAACTCGTTAATACTAGTCTAAGAACATTGTTAGATTCTTAGTAGACTTAAGTAATAGTATATTAGAAAGAGTATAAAGTGCACCAACGTCCCTGAACTTGTGTGGCGGTGTCACCTAAGAGTCTAAACCATTAATTTTCATATAAGTCACTAAACTTATTAATTATGCCCTCGTGAGTCGTCCAAATACAAATTAACATGTGACCGTTGATATGGCAAGCCAGCCATGACCATCAAAAAGAGAGATTATGTTCTCAGGCAACATTTGGGTCCTATTGATTTTTTTTTTGAAAGATCTGTTACCGGCTTTCATTGATATGAGACGAGCAAATTACATAACTAGCTAGTGGCACAAGCTGCGCCGCTACAAATTTTGCTTAGGACAGGAAAACTCAGTCCCTCGCCACCCCTGCACTTACATCAGTTGATTTCTTTTTTCATTGACTAGATGTGTGACCCACAGTAATATATGTGAATGATGGCTTGTAAAAAAAACAATGACATCGACACGTGTAGGTGTTAACATATCAACTAGTTAGAGAGGTTTGGACCTTGAGTGAACCATTTATTAAAAGTTTAGAGAGTTAAACATGCAAATTAATAGTTCTTGGATCTAGGTGACACCACCGAACAAATTTGAGAACCTATTATGTATTTTACTCTATCAGAAATCCGACAACGAGTCAAATTGCATATTTCTATGTCTTCTCTCTTTGTGTGTGTTTTCTAATATAACACAGGTATTTTAGATGCAATAATATATACTACTTTGAAAAAAATCTCATCTATGCATGGAACACTATGGACGACAATCATATACTTGTGCAAGCAAGAGCTATATATACCTCCATGTCGGTCATCTCACTAATGTTGGTCGGCATCCTTACGGTGGTGGAGAATGGTGCGCTCCCATCACAGCTGGAATGATTGATGTCACCGGCAAGGAGATGCTTCAGCTTGCGTAGATTATTTATGCGCTTTGTGCAGGAGGGACGAATCTTGGTCTGCCGGATATCCAGCGTCTCCAGCAGCTGGAGCGCCTTGATTTGATGGGGCAGATCCGGAACGTCCGTGTTCCGGAGGCTCAGATATTTGAGCGACTGCAGCTTGCAGATGCTCTTCAGGTGGCGCTTCTTCAGGCCTTTGCAGCCTCCGAGATCCATGACATTCACTCGATAGGTTTCAGGGAGTGATCTGAAATGCTTCAGCTGCTTGTCGATGGATTTCTCTAGCTTCTTACTGCTCGCCGCCGAAACGGACGACTTCCCGACCTGGCCCTGGCCCTGCTGCTTTCTTGGAAGGGAAACCCCACAGATGTTCAGAGATACAGCTGAGCCTGATGCTCCTCGTTCTGCTTTCTCCTTCTCTAGCTTCTTCTCCTGCTTGGCGACCATCTGACGGATGCGGAACTGGTTGTCAAGGTGGGGTGGCAATCGGCTTCCCTCGAAGTTCTCGCTCTTGGAGATCCCATCGACGAAGTTCTTCACCTCATCTCTCATCCTGCAGCTCTTGACCTTGTTGCCGGCAGCGCCATGCTCGACGGGGTAAACGAAGCCTCGGAAGAGAAGCTCAGTGAAACACATCTCGGCTGCTTCTTCGTACGATTGCTTCTCTTCCTTGACGACCAGGCGCTCGGCCGCCCATCGCCGGACCAAGCTTGTCCTGCTGATGCTCTTCTCCTCGTGGAAGGCGGTCAGGTACTGCAGGCAGCTCTTGTAATCCCTGGACAGCTTGCTGTAGCAGAGGAGCATCACTTGCTTGAGAAGATCAAGATCTGCGCCTGCGCCGCTGGAGCTGGAGCTGGAGCTGGCAGCGACGACGAGGTTCTTCACTTCTTCCTTGCTCACGCGGCCTTGACCTTGAGGAGATACATGAAGAGCACGGAGGAGCATCTCCATGACCATGCAGATGGTAGCATTATCTCCATGGCGTAGAACAACAGCTTGTAGGTCCTCGATGAGTGTCTTGTCAGACCTGAGGTCTTCGGGAAGCAATGTGACGACGATGGCGATATTCTTCTCTGCTCCGGCACCATCGTCGTCGTCCATGGCAACTGATGCTAAAGCCTGCAGGAAAGCATCCATGCCAAGTGACGCTAAAGCCAGCAGGAAAGCACCCCTGGCCTCGTCGGCGGCACCCTTGGCACCGTGGAGGACTGCGGCGGGCTTGTTCCCTTTTTTCGCCTCGGGGACGGTCACGCCGTAGCGCTGGCGCCTCTCGCCGACGTCGCGCACCCGGACCTTGAGGTCGCGCAGGCGGTTGGCGAGGCGGCGGCGCGGCCACCAGGTCTTGACGAGTTCGGGGACGTGGCGCACGTATCCCCAGAAGCCCTTGTGGGACGGGGTGATGCGCATGTAGAGCTCGATGCAGTCCTGCGCGATGTAGGCGATGTCGCGGACCTGCTTCATCCACGCGCGCTGCTGGTCGTCGTGGTCGTCGCCGGACTTGGTGAGGTGGAGGAGGAAGCCGTTCATGCTGTCCATCTCGTCCCTGATGAACTGGATGTCGCCCTGGACGCCGCTCAGCAGCTCCGCCTCGTCCTTGATCGCCGCCGATAGGACGCCCAGCAGCGAGTCCACGGCGCCGTGGGTCAGGTCGGCCATCTCTTCTCTTCTCTTCTCGTCTCGTCTCTTGTGTGTGTGAGAGAGAGAATCGAGGAGTCGAATGCAGGAGATGGTGCACAAATATATGCATGGCCTGGAAGAGATAGAAGGGAATCCAGTGCCATACCTGACACCAAGCAAAACCAAACGTAAGCTGGAGGCGACAGCCTCGAATATTTTTCCTTTCTTTTCCTACAGTAGTTGTTAAGGAACTAGCCTGTTCCACTTTTCCATAGATTCTAATCCAAAACTTTATTCTTTTCCATTTTGAACCACTTTTATAGGTTCTTTATTTATCCATTTCTTTTGGACGAGGTTTGTCACTGCTGATGCTGTTGGAGTATCCTTTGAGTGTAGTATAAACCAGAGATGCCACTTTAAATTTAACCATTATTCATTCAAAGGGACCCTTAATGTATCCATTTATTTTGTATATGTTGTAGCTCCTCATGCATTTTGATTGTGACAACTATCTATAAAAGACCTATAATAATGGGAAGTACGACCATGCATTATCATCAACTACTGGACTTTGAATGATGGTCAGCGTAGATGATAATATTACGTAACTGCTAGGCAGTACTTAGGTACTATAGAAAAAATTCTTTATATATAACATTTCAATTAGCCGTGCTAATATAATAGTCGACAACAGTGCATTCCCATAGGTTAGTTTATTCATCTCGTATGCATGTGTTATCCACACAATGAATTGGTTTGTACACTTCAATGTTGATGAGGATGGAGTAACTCCAACAGAGCCCCTACTTGAGCCTCATAGCTAAATATGGGGGCTCAGGCCAAAAATCCAACTCCAGTAGAGCCCTTATGGACCCCAAATTTAGCTGGGCACAGATATTCTCACCACGGACCCGATTCCTGTTGGTTCTGGTGTCAGCCCCCAAAACACCTCTTACGGTCATTTCGTCTCCAAGCTCGCACGTGGAACTCACGGCGCACGGCCAGCTCCAACTCGGCGGCCCCTCCCCTACCTTCGGCGGCCCCTGCTCTCACCTCCCCTCCGGTCATCGAGATCCAGCTCCCTCCGGCGGATGCAGCGGCGCAGGACAACCATGGTGCACTGCTCAAGGAGGTGGAGATGAAGGCAGCCATGGCGCACTCCTCCCGGCGCGATTCCCTCACGGCCATGGCCGCGCCTCTCTTCGTCGCGCCGGAGCGGCCCCTTCTCCGGCGCGGCGCACTGCTCCGCCGCGGACGCGGCCGTCCATCCCCGCTCGCCCTGCTCGCTGTCTCGCCTCCATCGGGATGAAGCAGGCCGCCGGAGGAGGAGCAAGAAGGCCACCGGCGAGGAGGCACAAGTACATGAAGTAGTTCGTATATAAAGTAAGTATATTTAAGATTTTTTTCCATAAAAAATGTATACATGAAGTAGTTCGTATATATAAAGTAAGTATATTTAAGATTTTTTCCATAAAAAATGTATATTTAAGATTTTGGATTATAGTTTATACATGGTGAATATTGAAATATTTATACTATTATTGTTTGTTCTACTTTTTTATCCTTTATTAACTTTCTATTACTTATATGCATAGTGCACTTATTTTGTTGTTTTTAGTAGGTATTGTATTATCGAATATGAAATTTAGTGTGGTGTGGTGTCCAATCTCAAAATGAACTAGAACGCACCACACGATCATTGATAAATCTTGAAGCCTGCCGTACAAGGCAGTACATGCTAGGCACAAAGTTGTATTACGTGGTGAATTTGAAACACATGAGGTGAACCTTGAATAAATCTTTGAGACGCCAGTAGTTTAGATAACCAAGCAACAGTTGTATATCATATTGCAAGGCATAGACATATTTGCTATATATTATACTAAAGAGCTAAAATTTCATTCCATTTTGTTGTCCACCTCTCCCAAACTACTTAGAGTATCACTTTTCTTATAGTCACTCTTCTTAGTTTGGAGTTAAAAAAACTTACTGGTATTGCATAACTCGTGCCTAAGCCCCAATCGATGATATATACAGGTCACAACATGGCACACACACACATGGCTCACCATTCACCTAAGGCCTTGTTTGGATGCATGTGTATTCACTTTAATCCACATGTGTTGAAGTGGAATGAAATAAAATTTAGTTTAATTCTACTACTTCAATCCACTTCAACACATGTGGATTGAGATGAATACATTTGCATCCAAATAAGGCCTTAAGTGGAATCAATTTTGAGTTAATTTTCTGTGCAAGATTAATCCTTTCTAGCAAGTATTATTCATTATTGGCCTTGTAATTTATTTGAAATAGGTTGGTCTAAGCCCAATTAATATCTAGCTCGTCTTCGATCTGGTTCAGTACACCCGCTTCTTTTTTTCCCTCACGTTTCTAGCTGTGTCTCCGTTTCGTTTCCATTCTTGAGTTTCCCGTTTCCGTTGGTTATTTACTTTTTAGTCCTTTTTTATCCTCACATTTCAATTGTTTTCGTCCTCAAGTTTTTTATTTGCTAATGTTTTGACACGGGCGTCAGTCCGCCCGAACGCCGCGCGCGGCCCACTCTGTGCTAGTTGTTGCTGCCTTCACCCGTCGCTCGCTCAAGCTCCATCCCGCCTACGACGTTGCTGCTGCCTTCACCCGTCGCTCGCTCAAGCCCCATCCTGCCCGTGACGCTGCAATTTCCTTCACCCGTCGCTCTTTCAAGCCCCATTCCACCCGTGACACTTGGCTCCCCATCCCGCGCCGCGCTCCATCTTGCGCTGTGCCGCGCACCCCATCTTCTCCCTCACCCCCACCCCACATCCCCACCCAAACAGGCACCGCCGCGTCCGTCCCCACACCATCGCTGCCCCGTCGGTTGGCTCTGATGGGTATGTGTTGTTAGTGGTGGAAAGGGCGCTACAGCAGCACACGGCGTGGGGGCGCGGCCTAGGAGATGGCGCTCCTTGCGGGGGCCCTCTAGGCAGTGGACCTCCTTGGCCTCCTGCTCGGCTAGGCCTCCTTGGCCTCCTTCTCCGCCGTTGCCACTCCAGTCCCCACCAGGTAGGCAGTGGCCGCACGGCAAAATGCTGTGTTTCAAGTGTTTCATATGGATGTTGTAAAAGTAGATCTGGGATATTGCATATGTTGCAATGACAATATACGCATGTTGTATTTCCAATGTTTCGGGTGTTTCAGACATATGTTGCAAATGTTTTCATATAGATGTTTCAAAAGTAGATCTTGGTGTTGAACATGTTGCAATGGCTATACACACATATTTTAAGTGTTTCATCTGTTTCAGACGTATATTGTAAATGTTTCATTTGGATGTTTCAAAACTAAATCTAGTGTTGCACATGTTTTTTTACTCTGGTGTTGCACATGTCGCAATGGCTTCGAAGGCTGGCGTTATACCTTCCTCGCATGAGCGCCTCGCCCTCATCTTCCTCCCCTCCCTTCCCTTCCCTTCCCTTCCCTCCATCTCCTTGCCGCGGCAGTTCAAGCTCGACGGGGAAACAATACTCGACTAGAACGCAGGCGCCCGCAAAGTTGGTGGCCTCAGGTGGGCCCGATGGCGGTGCGATGCCCGTGTGGTGGCCCTGCAGTAAGCTGAGGTCCGCTGTGACAGAACCGCCCAATTTATACAAGATCAAGTATGGTTGTCCCCGCTAACACGTTGACACACCCATACTTTTACTCATATAAACCCGGTAGTCCGCCGAGTGTCCCGAAAGACCTCGGTAAATCAACATCACAACCAAGATCGCGTGATTAAGCAAATACACATCACATACATCGGGTTGCAGCGGAAATAATGTTACAAAGGGTTTAACAAATAATAGTACAAATTTGGGTTTCAAAACCGCTTAGTGAAAACAACATAGCTTTCAAATGATTACACTAATATAAGTTCCAAATATATTGCTAGCATAAGTGACATCATCCGACAAAAGCATATAGATGAGAAGTAAATATAGAATCACCGAGCCCCGGCGGTTAGCCACCATCATCAACGGTCGAGAACTTCACCGCAACAAGGTGGGATAAACCACGAGTACTCGAATGTACTCAGCCAGACTTACCGCTCGGAAAACCAAAACAAATGACACCAAGGATCATGCAAGGCTTTCTTTAGTGGGCTAGTGACTTGTTTTATGAAAAGCATAAGCTATCATGAAGAAACCATTTTAAGTACTTTGCATTATCTTTATTATGGCCTATCCATCTAGGTAAACACTTGTACTATAGCAATCACTTGATTAACCAATAACATCCAATTACCAATTTAGATTTAGCATATCCCATACCATCCAGATAACCATCATTGTTCCATAAGAATTACTACGATGAAGTAACTCGAGTCAAGTGCTCACTATCCAGGAGCGATGGCGATTCGAATCGATTCCTAACCAGCTGGTGATTTATTCCTTACACAAACCTCACTCACCCGCTAAAGTGAGATATTGATCACCGAGTCAACTTTCCAGGTATCTCGAGTTTGCCAGGAACCACATGTACCCGGGGCCGAATCGATCGCACTTTGGTCTTATCATCCCGCCCGTGTCCTACCACACTGCTTCCCGACACGGTCTTGCTGCATGCGGGCAATCTACTCGGCCGAAAAATCTCCCGGCTTCAGCGGTCGGAAGGTACTTTATCCGGCCAGCTAAATGTAAGGCATGCGTTCAACATGACTCGAGGCCCAACAACGGTCGGTCCTTAATCGACTGACGGAAACTAACAGCACCCGTAACCACATGCCGGTTGCCTCCAACTTTTCCGTCCGGTCTCCAATTATCCATCACACATGGTTACTTCCAGGATATCATTCTTTCCATAGCTAAATTCTTCCAGTAACCACCTATAATGTAGGTGATCGGATATCACCGATCGCTACCGGTCTAAGCAAGGCTAAGCAGTTATTCGATCCTGACCTAACAGGGTAAAAAGATAATAAGGTAGGCAAGGATAGTAATAAATGCATCAACGGTTTCAATCAACTCCTACAACTTAATGCAATAATATATAACTCATATATAGAAAGAATTGCTTTT